GACAGTATTTATTGAAAATCTAGGGTATGCTGGGCACTCTTCTAGGTGTTGGGAGTGAGGTGATGAACAATATAGGCTAAAATCTTCGCCCTCCTGTGCGATTGGGGGAGTTTACTTTCAGGATAACGAGGCCATAGATATGACAACAGGATCTGGAAATAGCAGAGGATCCTGGGAGTACAGGGGAACTGCCACTGCAAAGTCAGGGAAACAGCAAGTCCTCATCTGCCGGAGTCCCAGGAATTCTTGCCAGTTTCCTTCACCTCTTCCTGCATAGTGCTCAGGGTAGAGGTGGCGCAGCCATGCATTGCTTCTCTCCAGAGTCACCCAAGACGCGCCTTTTTCCAGCCCCCCGACATCTGCTGGGCCCTTGCCACTCCAGCCACAGGGCGAAGAGCTTGCACCTAGGATGCCTTTTCATTTAATCCTGAGATTTCCACCAAGTTTACAGGTGAGCACACCAAGGCTCGGACAAGTGAACTCACCCAAAGCTGGTATCTGACTCCAAGACCAGTGCTTAATCCAGGACCCCAAGGTTTTGGGTCTTTGTTTTTTTTGTTTGTTTGTTGTTTTTTGTCTTTTGTTTCTCATCAGAAGGAGCCTATGGGGAAGAATTTGCAGAATTTCAGTTGGTCTACTGGCTTCTGTTACCAACACGTGCGAATCTTGTTCTACCTTGTTGCTGACATCACTGTCATCCCGTCAGTGGGATAATCATTGCTATTGCTGTCTGAGCACCCAGGGGCTGTGCTAAGCACAGGATGGGGCCTGAACATGGGGACTCTGGAATGGAGGTCCTGGGTTCAAGTGCTGGCTCTGCATCTTATCACCTGGGGAGGGTGGCCTTGGGCTTAGTCTCATACTCACTATTGCACAGGAAGTCGAGCTGCAAAACTCATGTTATCCTGCCTCCCAGAGGCTGGTCATGGCCTTCAAACAGAGTCCTTGAGAAAAGAATTCTAACCTGCTCGGGGTTGCACACAGTTCTGTAACTCTTAAAGCCCATGGACATTAAATGCACCTGAAAAGTCCAAATTCGTAGCGGGAACACATTTTGCATCAATAGGCAAAGAGGAAGAAAGGAGACACACAGACACTTTGGGATCACAGGTGGACCTGGGGAAACCAGAGGCCAAGTTTTCTCGCCAGGCAGATCATTCCTTCCTGGGAGTCAAATGACTTAAGGAGGGGTCCCTAGAAGCCCAGCCCAAGACAGGAATCTGAATGCCCACAAGGTGTTGGGGGTGTGCTCACGGGAGGGAAAGAAACAGGCCAGAGAAATGAAAAGGCTGGGCAAGATTGTGATCTGGAGCGAGGTCTACATGTGGCCTGCGGATGTGAGGACTCTGAATGGGGAACTGCCTCTCAGGGCTGTCTTCCCATTGGGGCTAGCCACTCACCGGCCATGCGCTGCTCAGGGAAGGCTGGCTATAACTCTCCAGGAAAGACGAAAAGGTGGCATGGGTAAACAACACTCTCAGTGGCTGGAGAGTGGCTGCCCTGACCCAGAAATGGGGATCAGGACCAAGCACCAGCTCTGTGTGGACATGGAGCTGGTGTGTGTATGCATTACTGAAGGACCTTCTGGGACGGCACAGGGGTACTTTATCACTGATGCTAGAATTGCCAGCTTAGGGTAATAATAAAAAGGAGACTACTTTTAGTTGGCATTCATTTTTTCTCTCTCTCTCTCTTTTTTTTAAGATTATTTGAGAGAGAGAGAAAAAGAGCATGTGCACGCATCGTGTGAGCTGGGGGAGGGGCAGCAGCAGAGGCAGAGGGACAAGAAGACTCCTTGCTGAGCACCAAGCCCGTGGTGGGCTCGAACCCACGACCCTGAGATCACGACCCCAGCTGAAACCAAGAGTCAGCTGCTCAACCGACTGGGCCACCCAGGCGTCCCTGGTGTTCATTTTCAAATTCTGTGCAGTCAACCCCCCGGATTGTATGCACACCACCCCTGCTACACATTTCCACACCAGGGCTTCCTGGGCAGTGGAGAAGCCAGGCGGCCCTTTGCAGAAATGACCAGGAGGTGTTCCATGGTGTTTCACGCTATTCTGGCCTCTGTTTTTTACCACCGCCCAAAAGGAGTTGCCCTGAGAACCCACAAGGGCCTGATAGGTTTCCCCCATCCTCACCTCTGCCCTCTCCTCCAATAAGAGAACAGGATTTCTGTCACCAGGAAGAATCATTCAAGTCCCACCCAATCTGACTGCTTCACTCTTACTTATGAAAGCCATAAAATCAGATACCCCCCATTTCTGACTTCTGAAGACATGGGGTTTGAGAGAGTATCATCTGATCTCGGCATTCAACAGGTCAAAAAGAATGTCCAGATGGCTCCAGGATGATCTCTATCAGAAGACACAGAACACTGGACGGTATATTCTTACAGACGTCACCAGGGTGGACGACTCCTTCATCTCAGGAAGGAAAAATCTGACGTCCCAGGGAGTGTCCCTCCCCCTAAGGACATATTGCAGACAAACTCAATATTTTATTTTATTTTTTATTTTTATTTTATTTTATTTTATTTTATTTATTATGTTATGTTAATCACCATACATTACATCATTAGTTTTTGGT